CCCCCCCCCCATATCCCCCCTCCCCTCGGCCCTGCCAGCCCTGACCCGCCCGGTGCCTGGCGCAGGTGCAGCCGGACGGCGCCAGCCTGCGCTACAACGACTACGCCTGGAACCAGGTGGCCAACGTGCTGTACGTGGAGTCCCCCCTGGGCGTGGGCTTCTCCTACTCCGACGACAAGCACTACGCCACCAACGACACCGAGGTGAGTGGGCGCCAGCTGCGGCTCCGGCACCCGCCCTGGGGCCGTTCGTGCCTCCCGCCTCACCGCCTCGCCCGCCCCCGCGCAGGTGGCCCACAACAACTACCTGGCCCTGAAGGAGTTCCTGCGCCTCTTCCCCGAGTACTCCAACAACGACCTGTACCTCACGGGCGAGAGCTACGCCGGGATCTACGTCCCCACGCTGGCGCAGTGGGTCATGCAGGATCCCAGCCTCAAGCTCAAGGTGAGGCGCGGGGGCAGGCGGGCACGGCGCCCCGTGGGCCCCCCTGCTCCTGCTCTGCTCCTGCTCCGCTGCAGTGCAGACGCGCCGGGCCGGCGGCAGAGCGCGGGAGGCAGCTGCGGGTCGCTGGCGGGAGGGAGGCGCTTGTTGCTCTGGCCCCGCAGCAGGTGTCTCCTCGCGGCATCGCAGCTCCCCGGGGTGTGTTGCAGGGATGCCAGGCTGCGCTCCCTGCTCCTGTCAGCCCGCGGGTCCCAGAGTCCTGGACGTCGCTCCTTCCCCCACTTGGCCGTGGCTGTTCCCCGCACCCCCTCTGCCTTTCCCCTGCTAACCGAGTCCTGTGGCTGCGCCCCACTCGGCGGGCGCACCTGGCAAAGCCTCGGTTCCCATCTAACGGCCGTGTCCACCTTCCAGGGCCTGGCTGTGGGGAATGGCCTCTCCTCCTATGAGACCAACGACAACTCCCTGGTCTACTTCGCCTACTACCACGGCCTCCTGGGGACCCAGTAAGGCTCGGGTGGAGGTTGAGGCGCCATCGTCAGCCTGGCCAGCGCTGCCACGGATCCCGGCAGCCCTGGGGGTGGTCTGAGGCACCAGCAGTCCCTGCCCCCACGACAGCGAGGGGTGGAGGGGTTGGACGGCTGCGTCTCCCTCTGTGGCTCCTTTGCTCCTCGCCCCAGAGAAGGCCGGTGCCAGCAGAGTCTCTGCCTTGGCTCTTGCTTGGGGCCTCTGTGTTAGTAAAGGCTGGTGGGAGCAGAGCAGGCCCCAGGCCTGGGGTTGGGCTGTGCCAGGCTGGGGTGGCCCCAAGCCTCTATCTTTTGCCCAGGCCTCTGCTGCCTGATGATGGGCACCTGTGGAATTAGCCACCAGGGCCACGGGGGAGCTCCGGGCTCTCCCTGGGGCCTGGACCTCTGCTGCCCATGGGGAGGGCCACTGCACGGTGCCCTGTGCGCTGTGGAAACGTGCAGCAGACCCCCCCACCCCGTGCAGAGGGCCTGTGGGCTGGAGTAGCTCCTCCCTGTGCCCCTCACCGGGTCTCCTGTTCCAGGCTCTGGCAGGACCTGCAGACCTTCTGCTGCTCGCAGGGGAAATGCAACTTCCACGACAATCATAACCTGAACTGCACGCTTAAGGTGAGTGGGAGCAGCCATGGGGAGGGCCCAGCCAGCCCTGCTGCACGGCTCCACTGGCCACGGCGTCATCTGCCAGGCTCTGCAGCAGCTGTAGGGCTCTTGCCCGCCCTGGGCCTGCAGACCAGGCGCGGCCGGTGGCTGGATGGGTGGGGCCACAGCAGCCAGAGGAGGGGAGCCAGCTGGACCCCAGCACCCACCTGCCACATGTTGCAGATGACGGAAATGATCAAGATCGTGGATGAGTCCGGCCTGAACATTTACAACCTCTATGCCCCATGTGCCGGTGGTGTCCCCGGAGCCTTCAGGTAGGAGCAGTGGCTCTTGCGGGGGTGGCAGCTTGCTGACAGGACCCTGGGCAGGCTCTGTGCAGGATGGGGGCATGGTGGACATCTCTGCCAAAGCAGGGCTCTTGTCTGATTTCCCCTCCCTGCCAGGAGAGGGAAGCGGGTAGCACTGGGGCGGCCCCGTGCCCTGATTCTCAGGCTGCTCTCATCTTGGCGGCAGGTACGAGGGGAGCCAGCTTATCACCCACGACCTGGGCAACTCCTTCATCAGGCATTCTCTGAAGTTCTCCTGGAGGCAGGTGAGTGTCTGGGGCTTATGCTCTGCCCTGGCACCAGCATCCTGCTCCTTGTGCCATTGGGCAGAGACTTGCAGGCCGGTGTCTGCTACACTGGCTCCCCAGCAGCCGTGGCCTGGTACAGGGACTTAGCTGGGGTGGGCTGGCTCATGGTGTCCCAGTTGGGGTGGCAGAGGGGCGGCTGGCTGCATTGTGCGGGGTTTGGGGAGGCTGGCTCACTGTCCGAGCAGTAAAGTGCCTGTGCTAGTTGCTGCTGTTTTCATGGCTGCTTTCCCCCTCAAGAACCTGCTTCAAATGCCAGTGGCCAAGAAGGCGGTTCGGCTGGATCCCCCTTGCACTAACACAACTGCCATCAGCAACTTCCTGAACTCCCCCGAAGTGCGGAAGGCCCTGCACATCGCCCCAGAGGTTCCTGAGTGGCAGCTGTGCAAGTAGGCAGGGGCGAGGCTGGAATGGGGGTGGCCACAGGGAGACAAGGGGCCTGCATGACTCTGCCTCTCCTGTTGCAGCTTTGAGGTGAACCGTAGCTACAAGCGCCTCTACACCACCATGAATGACCAATACCTGAAGCTGCTTGGCACCGGGGTGAGTAGGGGAAGGGGGTCCTGGCTGCCTCTAGACCCCTTTCTTGGGGAGGGAGTGTGGCTTGGCTCCAAGTGCTGGCTTGTAGCCCTTGCCTCACCTCCACTGAAGCCACAGGTCTCGACCATGGATGCTTCAGGGCACCGCTGAGCCTCCATGCATGCCCAAGGGTGCAGGGCAGTGCACAGAGTTGCTGTTCACAGCCTGGCTAACACCCTTGTCTCTGCAGAAATACCGGATCCTGGTGTACAACGGAGACGTGGACATGGCCTGCAACTTCTTGGGGGATGAGTGGTTTGTGGACTCCCTGGGCCAGAAGGTAAATCAGCAGCTGGGGCAGGGCCTGGGCTGGGGGGCACTTGCTGGAGCAGCCCAACTTGCTGCAGGGGTGTGTGTGGGAAGGGAGGGCAGCAGCCTCTGGAGGGAGGCACATTGCGCCATGGACAGGTCTCTAGCTATCTCTGGGGCGCTCTGGTACCAGGGCAGTGCAGGGGGGAGGTTAGGCCCATCAGCCCTGTGTGCAAAGGGGGCCATTAGCTCGCAGAGGTGGCTCTGAGTGCACTGGGCTCCCATTGCAGGTGCAGGTCAACCGCAGGCCCTGGCTGTACAAAGATGAGGGCGTGGACCAAATCGGGGGCTTCGTGAAGGAATTCACCAACATTGCCTTCCTCACTGTCAAGGTAACGAGCACAATGGGGGGGATTTGGAGCTGCTGTGGCCTGAGGCCAGTGCCCTCCCTGAGCTGCGCTGCGCTGCACTGCATACTGCCTCTTCCTGCCTGTGCTCTCACTGGGTGTTGTTCTGAAATCCGGGCTGCTGCTGTGCACCTGGCTGTGCTGGGGGCTGCATGACTGGGGTCTGGGACCAAGCAGAGCCTGCTTTGTCCTCATGCGCACGGCTTACTGCTGCTTGGCACTGCTCCTTGCTTTGGGGCTCTGCCTGGGCTGTCATGGCTGGAAGATGCTGCCGGCATTCACGCTCCTCTGCCTGTTCCTGCAGGGCGCCGGGCACATGGTGCCCACGGACCAGCCGCAAGCTGCCTTCACCATGTTCAGCCGCTTCATTCACTGCCAGCCTTACTAGCAGCCGGTGGAGCGGGGCTGCACTTCCTGCACTGATGCCTGGTGCTCCAGCCCTGGGCCCTTCCGTGCAGTTGGCCACTCACTGAGCGATGGCCAGATACCAGTTCCCCCAGCGCAGGGTGCTGCGCTTGTCCCGACGGCACTGGGGCTCCTGCTTTCCTCTGGTTTCCCGGCAGGGGGCACCAGACTGTGTCATTCCTGCCCTGTTACAGCCCCTCCCACCCCTGCAGCCAGTGCTGGGGGTCCTGACCCAGCTGCTACGGTGCCGGCAGGGGGCCGGAGCCGCCCGTCCTAGCCGGAGCAGGCGGCAGTCTCCCTGCTGGGGCTCTTTCCTCCTGCCCCAGGCGCTGGAGCCAGTCGCTTCCCCTTGGCTGGGAGCAGCGCACGGCCCTTCCTCTCCCACTCCGGCCCCTGCACGCACGTCCTGCCCGGCCCCGAGCAGCCGCAGGGGCTCCGAGCGGGCCCCCTCCCCCAGTCCAAGTTCTTGCAGCCACGTGGTGGTGGTGGCGGCTCTGATGCCTCTTTCAGGGCCCAGGGGGGCCTTGCAATAAACAGTCTGACCAAACTAGCCCTGGTGCCTGGGGCCTCCATTCTCATCCTCGTCATGGCTGCTACAGGCAGGAGCCTGGCCCAGCGTGGAGAGGAGGGAAGAGCCCCTGCATCCCGTGCGCAGCGCCTGGCAGTGGCCCCCTCCCTGCCTGTGAGGACCCTCAGAGGGAACTGCCAAGTCTCCCGCCAGTGGGTGGTTGGAGCCACATCGGCTCCTGTAGCTCTTGGGTTCCCCCAGTCCCGCATCCAGTGCATGCCCCCACCCCATGGCTACAGGCCAGGGCAGCAGAGGCTGTGCTGGAAGCAGGAGCCCACCGGGCCGCAGCAAGACACCAGCTCCCAGGCAGGGTTGAGACCTCTTTATTAGTGTAAGAGCAGAGCAGGCGCCAGGCCCTGCAGCTCATCCGGGACGGGCTCCTGAGACGGGCCGGGCAGGCGCTTTACCTGGGAGTGGAGCAAGGGCACGGCTGGACCCAGGGCGAGGGCGGCCTGGAGCCGCTGGGCGCAGTGTTAGCGAGTCAGCGCAGCGGGGGGAGCCAGGGGCGGATGAGGCCAGCACTGCACCCCTCAGGCCATGGGGCTGGGGGTGCTGGGCCGGGCCGGGCGGTACTTCTCAATCACCTCCCGCAGCCCCTTAGAGAAGTGCAGGTCTGCGCCCACTGTGATGTAGCCCTGCAGGGACAGAGGAGCGGAGTCAGCACCACGCACCCCCTGGTCGCCGTGCTGGGAGGGGGGCCCCACCACCCCAGGGCCCAGGTATGACTGGAGCTCCCTGCCAGCACATACCAGGTGGTTGGTGACCACCTCCTTGGTGAAGTCCATGCCCTCCGGCAGTGGGATCTGGACCCCCTTCCTGGTCCTCTCTGGAGGGAGAAAAGGAGCAGTTATAGGCTGCCCTCATGCCCAAGCCTGCCCCCCCAGCTCCCGTCCGTACCGTTAATGATGGGCATGACAGTCAGCTGCAGCAGAGTCTTCAGCGGGGTCTGCAGTGAGAACAGCTGGGGAGAGAAGAGCCAGGGTCAGAGCACTGCTGGGGTGGGCAGCTACCCAAGGTTGGCATGGGGGCTCTGAGCCCTGTCAGGGTGCCTCAAGGGCAGCAAGGGGGGCTATGCCTGGGCACCACTGGAGCCTCCCCCTCCCCTTCTTCCCCCCCACCCCAGCTGCACTCCCCCACTCTGGGCCTGGCTGGCTCCGGCCCCACTCACCGCCAGGGACTCCAGCGCTGACTGCTTGGAGTAGATACGGAACCTGTGGGGAGAGATGGGGTCAGCGCGAGCCCTGCCTCCCCGCTCCCTCCACACCAGCCCCTGCCCTGTCCTGTTGGCCGCAGGCAGCCCGTGTGGCAGGACCCTGGGCTGCGTCTTCACTGGGCTACATGCATGCCCCAGGGGCTGGCGGCACGAGCGTTACCTCCTCAAGTCCAGCTGCACCTGCAGGGCCTTCTGGCGCAGCATCACCTTGGCGCTCAGCCGTGCTTCCTGGAGAGGAGACAGCCCTGCGCATCACTGCCACGCAGCCGGGGCGACAGCCACAGCCAAACCCCATAGAGGCTCCCCAAGCTCTTCCCACGCCCAGCTGCACCACAGCATGGACATGCATGTGCACGGGGGCTCCCTGCTGTGCCCAGCAGCCCAGGCCACGCATGTGCCCCTTTGCGGGCCCTGCTCTCAGGAGGGAAGGGCGCTTACCATGCTCATGCTGGAGAGCTGCACGGCAGGCTGCCCCGCGGGCACCAGGGAGATGTTGAGCACGGCGTTGACGGAGACAGCGGTGCCCGTGGGCCTGATGGTGCAGCGCGGGGGCGTCACCACCTGCAGCACCATCCTCAGTGGCGCGTCCACCACGGCCGGGCTCTGTGGGGGCAGCGAGTGAGGTTGGCACTGGGGCGCTGTCTTTCTGGCAGCAGCTGCCCAGGGCTCCTGGAACATCCCCTGCCCCCCTGCTCTCCCCAGCCCCCGCGGCTCTCACCATCATGAGGATGCTGCCGAAGAACGTGGCTCTCAACAAAACCTCCAAGTCCTTGGGCACCTGAAACAACGGGAACCGTCCTGGGCATGGGGGTCAGCACACCAGTCCCCAGGACCACACGTGGCACCTGACACGGCTGACCAGTGCCCCCCAGTCCGCACACCAGCCCCTCACCTGGTCCCCCTGGAACTCCATGGTCAGCACGCCCGCCTGGAAGTAGGAGAACATGGCCGAGTCAAAGAAGTATTCGGAGAAGGCCACGTACACCATGCGCTCCGTCTCCGTGATCACCGGCTGCTCCCCCTTGTTCACCAGCGTCTGGTTCTCGGCCTCCTGGTAGAAGAACATGCCCTGGGCGGAAGAGAGCGGGTGAGCCCGGCCCCCGCAGCGTGGAGGGCCATGGCCCCGTTGGCCCTGGCGGGCAGGTGCTGGGGGGGCTGCAGCTGCCTCCAGGACTCACCTTGAAGTCCATGTCGAGCGTGTCCCAGGTGACGACGGGGTCGCTCAGGAGGGAGTAGTCGATGCCGACGTGCTCGTCCACTGGGTTCCTCACTGCATGGGGATGGGGTCGGTCACCCAGGCCCCCTTGGACCCCGCCCAACCCCCGGGCTCCATCACCCCCTCCCTGTCCCCCGCCGGCCCCAGCAGCTCACCTGGCACCGTGTCCAGCAGCGAGTTGAGCAGCACCAGCCCCGCGTGGTTCAGTGCTGGGCAGATCTGAAATGGAGACAGTGGCTGGGGCTGGTGAGAGCGGGGCCAGGCCCACAGGAGGCAGATGGGGAGCCGAGGCACTGGCTCAGAGGTCCTGGCATGGCCCCTTGAGCGGCCCTGCCCTGGAAGCCTGGCCTCCGCCCTCCTCCAGCCTCATCCGCCCAGCGCCGAGTCTGGTGCAGGCTGGCGCCCCATGGAAGGGAAAGGCACCAGCACAGCACGCGCTGAAGCACCAGATGCCTGGCCTGGGGGTCTGTGCAGTAGCAGGGCAGGGCAAGGCCTTACCTGCTGGTTGAGGACAAAGCGCATCCCCGTGGTGAGGAAGAGACCCAGAAACTCATAGACCTTCCTGCAGGGACGGGACAAGCTGTCACACCCCTGCCCCTCCTGGCCACGGCTAGGCCCTGGGGCCCTGGAAGGGACGCCAGAGCCAAGGTCCATGCTGGGGGGTCCTGGCACGTGGGCAGCCGGTACCTGAGCGTGCCTGAGAAGCCGGCCTGCATGCGGGCGATGGAGGCGTTGCAGGTGATGTTGGAGATCTTGAGGCGCCCAGCCCTGTCCTTGGACAGCTTCAGTGCAGTGTGGACATGGACGCCGTGCGCTGAGGCATTGATGGAGCCCACGTCGTAGCTGGGGAGCAGCAACAGCGTGGGTGAGAGGCGGGGGGCAGGCAGCTGCTGGGGGCTGGGCTGGCCCAGAGACAGCCAGGGCTGCAGGGCACTGCTGCAGGCGGGGGGCATGGCTTACAAGAACCAGTAGAGCAGCTGGCGGCGGAAGCGCAGGCTGATGGAGGCGTTGTTGATGCTGAAGGCGATGTGCTGCTGGGGCTGGAAGTGCAGGTCGGAGAGGGCCAGGTGCAGCGCCATCACCTTCACCCTGCGGGCATGAGCAACCTCAGCCCTGGCCCTGCTGCTCTGGCCGTGCCCAGCACCGGGGGCTTGTGGGGGGGAATGCCTGCGCCCCCACCCCGCTGGGCTGGGTCTGCCCTGTGCAGTTGCAGCCTGGTCCTGGGGCCTGCGCTCCCCTGGCCGGCGTGCGCAGCCCCGCAGGCTCGGCCATTCCCCTCCCCGTGGGCTCGTGGCCCGGAGCATGCCTGCAGCCCCGCTCCCTGGACTGGCTGGCGGTGGCTGGGGCAGGCCAGGACCCCCTCCCCACCCTGGCACGGCGCTCACTGGCTGATGTTGTAGTGGAACTGCCCCTCCTTGCCGTGCAGGTCGGGGATGCTGATGTGCTCCAGCTCCTGCTCCACGAAGCGCAGCCCTTCCTGCTTCACTGCAAAACAGCGGCGCTGGCTCTGCCCCGGCCCTGACCTCTGCCGGGGCTTCCGCCCCCCAGCCCGTTCCCAGGGCACCCGCCCTGCCACCACCGGGCTCCTTTCCTGGCAGCCGGGCGCCCCGGCTCGGACCGCCCCACCTCCTCCTCCAGGCCGGCCGTGGCTGCAGCTCTCAACCCCTCTGTCTTCCCCCCACCCCTCGGGCGCCTGGATGGGACACCACCCTCCCCGCGGGGGCTCACCCAGCCCCTGACCCAGGTCCAGCCCCAGCCCCAGCACTCACCCAGGTCCAGCCCCTTGCCCGTGATGCGGATCTTGCAGCCGGGGGCCGTGGCTGTGGCCACGACCAGGCAGGGCAGCGCGAGGAGCAGGAGGCTGCGCAGGGCCATGGTGTGCGTGCTCCTGCGGGCACAGGCATCCGTGTTGCGCCAGGCACTGACTCCCCAACCCGACCCGACCCGACCCTCGGGAGCGGTGA